ACAAATAGAAAGAAGCTCTGAAAATCTGTAATAATAGAAGGTGTTCATAGGCAGAAGGAAGGTTCTAGCAAAGAATGCATTGCTTCAGGGGAGGTCACCTTTCTTTGGAAGGGGTCTATCAAGAGGATTCCCAGCCCAAGCTGGTTTGGCTCAGTGGATAGAGCGACAGCCCTACGCAAGGGCATGTACTTCAGTTGCAGGCTCCATCCCCGCCCCCGACCCCACACTCCTGTTGGAGAAAGTGTGTGTGGATTCCCAGCCCAAGACATCACCGCTCTCACATTGATGTTTCTCTCTCTCTGTCTCTCCCCCTCCCTCCACACACACTCTCTCCCTTTCTCTAAAAAACAAAACAAAAAACAAAACAAAAAACAACAATTATGGAAAAATATCCTCAGATGAGGATTTAAAAAAAAAAAAGAATTCCCTCACTCATGCTGACCAGGTAATTTCAGATTGACTGGTTAAGGGCGACATTCCTTGGAGAGGCTGAGACTGCACTAGGTTAGGGATTAAGTCTTGGTTTGGGTGGCTTAGCACCGTGACTCCATTTGGGACTTGCTGTTTAACAGTTGTTAGATCCCACCTGCTTAACCACATGGGAGGGAGGGGAGAGTAGCCTTGTCTAGCCCTGTGTCTCTTTGCCCTGATCCTGGCCCTTCCTTTCCATTCTCCCAGCAGCGCACGTGTGGGTGAGTCCAAAGGCCTCATCTTCTTCTGATATGTGTTCCCCATTCCCAGGAGGGTGGCTCCTACCCCAATCCTTCTCCCTCTCCCCCATCCCTACCCTATTTCCCTGGAGGTGCCACATTCTCAGGAGGGAGTACCTCCCACCGGGAGAGCCTTGGGGCCAACATCACGGCATCTGATGGCAGTCTGGGTTCCTTCCCAGTTCTCTAGCCCCAGGCCTCTGCTTCTTGCCCCCACTTTCTCGGACCCTGGAGACATTGAGAGGGAAGACTGTTGCTATCCTTTGCTCAGTTGAGATGCTAGTGTCCAGGAAGTCCCTGGAGTGGATGAAGAGGGAAGCTGGACCTGAGACTCAGTTTTTAGAGGGCAGGGAGCCCTGGGTTGTAGTTCTACATGAGGCTCAAGGAGAATGTACAAGTATTTCTGTAGCCATACATGTGCATGTGTGTATATGTATCTTGGTGTGCACACGAGTCATTTTTTATACCTGTGTATGTATGTATACCTGTGTATATGGAAATCTTTATTGGTAAATGTGCCCAATCTGTGTGTCAATGGGCATGTATGTGTTGTTTGAGATGTGTATATTTTATACATCTCTGGGTAATTGTGGATAGGCCTATATGTCTGTGTACATCTGTGAATGTGTATGTCTGTGTAGCTTTGCATTCGTACATACTTGAATCTCTGTGTTCATGCATCCGTGTGTACCTGTGTGTCTTTGGCCAGTATGTTTGGGAGTATGTTTACAGGCCAGTGTGTGTCTGAGTACACCTGTGTACAGGTCTATGTTTGTGTGTGTACGTGTGTGTACCTATCTACAGGCATCTGAAGGGATGTGGAGTTTCAGGAACAAAAACAACAAAAAGGAACAAAGGACCAGGTTTGCTTTCTTTCTTTTTTTTTCTTCTTCTTTTTTTTTTTCGGATGCAAAAGCAGAGAGTCTTTATTCAAACTAGTTTGCCCCCCTTCCCGCCCGCCCCGGCTTTCTTTCTAAAGGTGCTGGAGATGATGGAACAGGATCGGACGGGATCAGAGCACCCCTGGGTGAGCGGTTGGTGAAGAAGCAGCAGGGACAAGCCCCTTGAACATGAGCAGGCCTCTGGCAACAGGATAATGGGCCTTGGCATTGCCACGAGCCTTGCCAATGCTGGGCCCCAGGGGCTGCCTCCAGATGGAGACCTGTCCTCTCTAGAGGGGTTTGTCCATCTGTCTTGGATGTAGGTTGGGTCAGGAAGCTCCTAATCACAGCATGTTGGTTCCCCAACAGTATGGAAGGGGAGCTGCCTTGGGGGGGTCAGCCCCCTCTCCCCCAGGTCTCTGCATTGTGTACTGCTACAAGCCAATCCTTGATGCTCTGCTTCTAAAAGAATAGTTGAACCTTGCTGTAGTGGGTGGGGGTGGGAAGATAAGCAGTAAGAGAAGCTCTGCCTAGGTAGCTCTGGGACTGGAATTTCAGCTGAATAGTAAACCCCCTTTTCTCAGCCTCCACTTTTCTCCTTGATGGGAAATTGGCTCTAGCCAACCCCAGTAGCTCAGTATCCTGCCAGTCAAGACTAGAGGTAGAGGGAAGGAGGGGAAAGGGTGTTGGTGGTGGCTCAGAGCCCTTCAGTCTGAAGCTTGCTCCAGGCAAGCCAGTGTAGATAAGATATTCCCCAAATATCTAATACTAGAGGCCCAGTGCATGAAATCCGTGCATGGAGGGAGGATCACCTCAGCCTGGCCTGCACCCTCTCCAATCTGGGAGCCCTTGGGAGATGTCCGACTGCCTTTCGCAATCCGGGACCACTGACTCCTAACTGCTTGCCTGACTGCCTGCCTGATCACCCCTAACCACCTCTGCCTGCCTGATCACCCCTAACCACTTCTGCCTGCCTGATCACCCCTAACTGCTCCCCTACAGGCCTGATTGGCCCTAACTGCTCCCCTGCTGGCTTGATCGTCCCTAACTGCTTCTGCCTTGCCCTGCACCCAGGGCCCAGGATTCCCTCCTCTGGCCGGTTGCAGGCACCTGGGACCTGGGCTTCCCTCCCTCTGGCCAGCTGCAGGCACCCAGGACTTGGGCCAGCTTTGCCCAGGCTGGCCACAGCTGCAGGGGACTGCGGGGCGGGTGGCTTGTCCCTCTCCCGGGCCGCAGCCTGGCTGGTCCCCATTCCTCTCTCCCCAGTGTTGAGTGTCTGAGCAGTGCCTGCATGAGGGTGCGAGGGCGTGAGGGTGTGATGACCATTTGCATTAGCTCTTTATTATATAGGATGGTTTGTTATTGGGCCTCAACTTCAACCATTATATATTCATTCCTTTGGCTGTTTAAGGCCTTTCAGTGTTGAATAGCTTTTGATTAAAAAGCAAATACTCTTAGGAGAAGAAACTCCTGAGTATGTTATTTATTAATACCTCTGGGAGATTGACTGGTAATTTGCTGAGAACAAGGTTTTGTGAGAAGCAGCACAGAAGGGAAGGACACAGGGAACTGTCAGTGGGCATGGGGGTGGGGGGTGAGCCTAGTTGTGGAGAAGAAGAGCCATTGAAAAGGAGATGAAGCAGGGAGTGCTGCACTCACTATTTTCTCTTCATGGGGACCCAGGAAGACTACTTCCTGGGATTCCTTGTAGTATCGTTGGGCTCCTCAACATGCAACTGAGTCTGGCCAGTGCCATGTGGTTGGAAGTGATGCAAGCAACTTCCAGGACTGGCCTTTAATGAGCCCTACAACTCACCCATTCTCACTTTGCTTGCTATGTGCCTCCGATGGTATACTCCCCGATGGAGGGGGCTGCCTGGTTGACTTCGTCATGTTAAACCTTGAGATTTTGCAGTTTATTTGTTACTGTGGCAAAACTTGGTTTAGCCTGAGACTTAGAGGAAAGAAGGTGTCGACAAATTTCCTAACTTTTCCCCAGGCAAGATGTAGCACAGAAGTCAAGATCCCAGGCTCTGGAGTCCTGAAGTCCCACTTGCCCCATTTCAGTTTCTTAACCTTACTCAGCCTTCGCTTCTTCATCTGTAAAATGAGGGTTGAATTAGACAAACCCTCTAACGTATGTAGCCCATTGCTTGGCCATGGCAAGTTGTCACTAAATGTTAGCTTTTATGCTGAGTAATTAAAGAAGCAATGTAGAGTTAGGAATGAGCATGGGTCCCAGTTCCAATTTCCATATATTGTTTCTTTTTCTATATCACAGGATCAATAACTGAACACAGCAGCCTCACCAGGGTTGGTGTGTGATTGTGTTGGTGATTGTGCTGAGGACACCATGAGGCAGCAGAGAAGAGTTTGCTGTTGTTGTTACTCCTGATACACCCCTAAGTCCAGCACACAGAGTGGTCACTTAGCTCAGCTGTGGGGAGGACAAGGTCAGGCTCACACTCATGAGTTTACACATTTGCTGGCAGGCTCAGGACCAACCAGCCTGGAGGAAAGGGAGGGTTTTGGGGAAAGGGTTCCCCCAGGTATAGCTGCCTAGACCTCCTCCTCAGAGAACATTCCTGTGGCCCCAGCCTCCTGAGAACTGGGTGCACGGGGGTGGGAAGGCAGGGTGCCTGTGGGCCTCTGGGTGGAGAACATGGTGCTGCCTTCCACTGAGGTCTGCTGGCCAGATCTCCAGACACTGCCGATTCCCAAGGCTGCCCCTGGGGAGGTGTCATTCCACCTTCCTGAGGATGGGGCTGGGATGAGGCAGAGTGGGGGGAGGGGGAAGGGACCTCATGTGGGGGAATCTTACCCCTTCGCCCCCTGGGGTGGGGGGTCATCTGGGTGGGGCTTTTGCAAGTGCCCATGGCTTGATCCTCCCAAACTACTCCCAAAGATGCCTCTTCCGCACATCTCCCCTGTCCCCTGCACCACTGAGGAGGGGCTGGCCCTCCATCTACAGTTCAGCGCCTTTCTGCTCAGCCCTCAAGGTCATGCCCACACTCCAGCTCCTCCAGAGGTGGTCTGCCTGGAAGCTGGTGGAATATACTTCAGGGCTGCTCACTTGTACAAGCCCCTTCTAATACCCAATTTTGTATTATTTTTTTTAAAGATGCCCTAAGATGTATATGCTTCAGGCTTCATAAAACCGAGATCTGTCCCGAGCTCTGCCTGGGAGGGGAAGTGGAGGCAGGGTGCACCTGGCGCCCTCTCACAGCCCTGCCAGCGCCCTGTCCTTCCTCCTTCCCTGAGTGCCAGGGCACTAACCACCAGACAGTCAAACCACGAGACAGTCATTTTGCGTCTCCCGCCTCAGTTCGCTGTCGGTAAATAGGAGAGTCAGACGAGATGGTTTCTAAGACCCTTTAGTTTCTGGCATTAGGAGACTGACCACCTTATCAGGACCCTGTGGGGGCAGGCCTGGCTGACCAGCTGCTCGCAGGGAACTGGGGCTCACTGGGGTCTTTTCACCAGCATTTTCAAGGAGGACGGCTGACCTCCCGGAGCAGGGCCTCAGGTCCAGGAATCCCTTCCCACCGGGGTGGCCAAATCCGGCTCCTGCAGTGAGGGGTCCAGATGTGTGTGGGTACGTCTAGGGTCCCGGAGAGAGAACAAGAATGGCCCTGGTGTGGGGACAGAGCTGTGGGGTGAGGTAAGGAAAATTCACCGACAGTCACGCCTCCTGTTTCCTTCTCATTTGGGGACCCACCTGAGTCAGAGAAAGAGAACTCACACCAGTCTCACTGGTCTCCCCTCAAATAGGGCCCAAGTTCCTGGGGCCAGCCTGGGGCTTACTTTTTATTAAGCTGAACCTAACCTTGGTCAGGGTGGAGGAGGCTGAAGCAGCAGGGGACGCCCGTGGGAGTGCCCTTCCTCTTGTGAGGTGTGGGCAATGGAGACCTGGGTTCAAATCCCAGCTCTCTTGCTGCCTGGCTGTGTAATCTTGGGCAAAGGATTCAGTCTCTCTGAGCCTCAGTTTATCTTCTAAACGGGGAACCTAATATCTACGTCATGGGATTATTCTAAGGATTAAATAAGATAGTGTGTGTGAAGTGCCGGGCACTTGGCAGGCACTCATTATTACTATTATTCTCTCTATTCTTTGGAAAGGGGAAGACTCAGGTGCTGCTGCCCCAGGGGTCCTGGCAAGCAGACAGGGGCCAGGCAAGGGGTGAAGGTGAGAGTGAAGTCTCAGTAGGGGGCACTGGGAGACCCAGTCACCTTCCAGCTGTGGCCTCATGGGATGAGCAGCAGAAAGGAGAGCCCTCCCTCTCCCATCCTTCTTGCCCGGTGGGGTCCTCTGTTGGGAGGCCTGGAGCCCAGCAGTGAGTGTGAGGCCCTGGGGGGAGGCCCTAGTGGCCGATGGAGAAGGCCCCTGAATCAGTGGACTGCTTCTCCTCCGGGGTCTGGTCGCTGGGGAACACTGGGTTGGCCGAGGCAGCGACCTTCAGCGTCGTCTCGTTCACCTGCAGGCAGAAGGCTGGCATGAGGGTGCTCTGACTATGGGCAAGGACCCCACTGGACAGACTCAGCAGTCGGGGCACGCCGCCTGGTCTTTGGGGAGCTACAGTGCGTCTGTGTGATACCAGGACTCCATCCATGCATCTCAAGGGCAGACAGAACCCAGAGCCAGCCCATAGCAGGATTTCCCTGCCCCAGAAATGGAGAGGGGACGATGAGCAGCTGGGGCGGCAACAGCGACCACCCACAGAGCCTCCATGGTTCTCACAGAGCCCACTCTCAGCCAAACACCCTCAGGTCTGGACCCCTAGTATGCACTGAGGCCCAATGAACTTCCCTTCAGAAGCCCCTTCAGAAGCCCCTGAAAGGTGAGCTGCTGAGAGTCCCTGGGGCCCAGTGGCCCCCCCATGCCCTGTCTCGCTACTTCTCCTGGACCCCACTCACCTCCTCAAACTTCTTGGCTTTGTATTGGTCGGCCCCCTTGAGGAAGTTGAGCAGGATGATGTCACAGAGGACAGTCCCCTGGGGGAGGAAAGGAGGGCAGGCCCTGAGCTGCCGGGCCCTGGGCAGCACTGGCCTGGGGGCGGGGCTGTGTCTGCATATCCGCCCCCACCTTCGTGGGGAGGCCCAGGAACTTGTACCAGGCCAGCCTCCTGCAGATGGGAGGCTGCTGAGGAGGCAGGGAGCGCCCTGTGACTACAGGTGACAAAGCAGGGCCCAGCTGAGCAGGGAGGTGGTGCAGGAGACGGAAGCACCTGGCAAGAGGCTGGGCTTTTCAGTCTAGGCTGAAGCAGGGCTTACCTGGCTTCAGTTCCCTGTCCACACCTGCCAGCAGGGGCCTCACCCTGACCGGCCACCAGTCAGAGCCTGGTGGGGCTGAACTCACCACTCCCACGGAGGTGAAGGCTGCCACGGAGCTGATGATGGTGGGGATGATGTTGAACTTGCCTGCCTGTGTGCACAAAGACCAAAGCGAGTGGGCGGAGTCCAGCAGGGCAGGGGTGAGGCCAGAGAGACCTTGGAGCAGCAGGCCCCACCCCTTCATGGTGCAGGTATGGAGACAGGAGGTGTGAGCAGTTGAGGGTCTCAGAGCTGGTCAGCAGTAGGACCCTGCCCCTCACCCCTGCCCAGGAGCCTTTTCCGGGCCCAGGGTTGGTCTGAATTTCCTCCCCTGTCTAACCACCTGCCCAGCCCAAGGACTCACGTTCCCGTACACCAGCACGTCGAAGCGGATGCCAAAAGCCTTTAGGAGCGTGCGGTACTCGCTGCCATTCTCCAACTTGTAGTACTTGGCAAACCTGGAGGTCAGAGGCAAAGGTGGGTCCCACTGTGGGCTCCTGCCTGAACCTACGGGGTCCTCGGGAGCCTACGACCGTCACTTCCTGCGCAGCCCTTACAGATGGTTTGGTGGGACACCTGCCACGGTCCAACCTGTGTCTGAGTCTCCGCCCCCAGGTTAGCCAACCCCCTTCACAGGCAGCATCTTGGGGTGCTGGTTAAAAAGACAGCTTCTCAGGCCCCACCCTGAACCCAGGAATCAGCATCCCTGTGGGTGGGGCTCAGGACACTTCCTTTTATTTTTATTTTTTAAAATATATTTTATTGATTTTTTACAGAGAGGAAGGGAGAGGGACAGAGAGTTAGAAACATCGATGAGAGAGAGACATCGATCAGCTGCCTCCTGCACACGCCCTACTGGGGATGTGCCCGCAACCCAGGTACATGCCCTTGACCGGAATCGAACCTGGGACCCTTCAGTCCACAGGCCGACACTCTATCCACTGAGCCAAACCGGTGAGGGCAGGACTCTTCCTTTTAAATAACTTCCCTCAATAATTCTGACGTGTGCGAACGTCTGAGCCAGGACTCCATGCTTCCTCAGTTCTATCTGCTTGGGTGGTCCAGGGCCGGCCTTCTCCCCTCTCTGCAGGTTTCTCAGCTGGACTGGGTTCGAAGCCAGGCTCTGCCACTTACCGACTTCCTAATCCTAAGACACAAAGGCTTGGAGGAGAGGGGCTGGACCGTCTTCATGAACAGGATCAATTAGGGTCTGGGGGTGGCGGCAGAGAGCGTCACAGACCAACTACATGGCCTGAATTCAAGTTGCACCAGCAGGAGAAGGGGATGGACCCCAGAGAGGAAGTCGTTTCTAGAAAGATGAGGAGGTCCAAGAGCATGATTCTCCAAGGAGGCCTCGCAGGAGATTTTAAGGAAGTTTGCAAAAGCAGCATCAGGACCGGACGGAAGACTGTGGGAAGCCCTCACTGACTTTCAGGTTGGCCTGAGCCTAAGTGGGGACCCTCACCACCTCCACATCCGCCATGGACAGAGCACTAAAAGGGTGCAAACCTATGAGCATCTCCTCAATGTCAGGGAGCAGACTCCGGTGACCCATTTTATAGATGAGGAGACTGGTGAGTGGCAACACTGACAGCTCCAAAGGCCCTGCTCTTTTATTTTTAATTTTTATTGATTTCAGAGAGGAAGGGAGAGAAAAAAAAGAAGCATCAGTGATGAGAGCCTGCAACCTGGGCATGTACCCTGATGGGGAATCAAACCGTGACCTCCTGGTTCATAGGCCAACACGCAACCATTGAGCCACACTGGCTGGGCAAAGGCCCTGCTCGTAACCTGAACCATCCTGTCTCTGACGCCCAGGGGCGGCCTTGGTGCCAGACCTCAGAGTCCTTCTGCGCTCTGTGCCCTGCCTCCCTCCGCTGGAGAATCCAGGCCTGGACGAAGATCACGTGTGGGGAAGAGACCCCGCTGTCTGGGCTGTGGCAGTGGAAGCCCGTGGGCACTGGGCAGGGGTGGGAGGGCGAGTGGCTGAGATCTGGGGCAGGGCGGAGGCCGGGACTGCGTCCTGTCCCGAGGTCTGCGTTCCTGGCCATAGGCTGCAGCCATGAAAGATGCTCCGCCATCGCCTGGGAGAGCAGAAAGCCGGCATCCTGGGCGCTGCCTCTCCAAGCGAGGGCTGGCTAAATTTATCTTGGGAAGGAATGTGGAGGGAACAGGGAGAAGAACCGAAGCGGACTTGGCTTTTCTCCAGCACCTGCCTTCCAAGAGGCAGTGCGCATGATAAGATCATTATCTCATCCACCACCCACCCTCCGAGGAGGCTTGGCAGGGCCGCTCTCTTCTGGGGCGGGAGGGAGGGAGAGCGAACCTCGAGCCGGGAAGGAGGGAGGGGACCAGCCGGAGGCAGGGGCGAAGCGGACTTGGCTTTTCTCCAGCACCTGCCTTCCAAGAGGCAGTGCGCATGATAAGATCATTATCTCATCCACCACCCACCCTCCGAGGAGGCTTGGCAGGGCCGCTCTCTTCTGGGGCGGGAGGGAGGGAGAGCGAACCTCGAGCCGGGAAGGAGGGAGGGGACCAGCCGCAGAGAGAGGGCCCAGGAGTCCTGACTTCTGCACTCCAGAGCGGCCAGTGCGGGTCACAGAATGTGGCCCGACCGTGGGGCAGAGACTGGGCCATCACAGGGCTGGGATACCTTCCCTCTTGGCATGCGGCTGGGCCACGTGTTCTAGCCCCTCGCATCTAGCTGGGGCCCCACCTCAGAGAGTTCTTGCCAAAGAATGTGAAGGGAGGTGCGGTATGTAACCTCTGGGCCCACAGGTGTCAAAGCAAACCCTCCTCATCCTCCCTTTCCTCATGGCTAGTTGCTCAAGAGCCAGGGGAGAAGTCAGGGTGTAGGGGCGACTGAGTCAATAGGTGGCAGGAGCCCAGACCCCTGAAGGCTCCTGAGCGCTCCGCCCCCACTGGTCCCTGGTGTACTGTGCCAGCAGCACATACCAGCCACTGAGATGGGTTGTTTGTTACCGCGATGAGCAATATTTAACCACATGCAAACTCCTTTGATTTTATAGCCAGGAAGCCTGAGTTAGAGGATGAGTTAAAACTGGGGAGTCATTCAAGATAGAGAGAATTCCATGATGCTACAGTCCTATGAGGCTAAGAAAGTCCTAGGAGGTCTGGTGCGGCCCCACGGTGTCTTGAACTAGCTTTTGACTCCACGCAAGTCACTCAACCTCCTGAGCTTTTTCTCTCAACTGAGAAGTGAGAGTGAGGAAGGCCAGATGAGACAGTGTCCAGAGAGAGTAATTAAAGCAAGATCTAGTCAGTGCTTAAAGCAGGTCCTAAGATCAAGATAAAGTGGACTCGTAACATCTACCATTTCCTTAACTATCACACCTCCTGCCTCCCGGCGATAACAGTGTTAGCAACAATAACAGACAACGTATATATCGATTGGGTGCTTACTATGTGCCTGGCATTGTGCTATGTGCTCAATGCCAAGTAACTAACTCATTTAATACTCATAGCAACACCAAGGAACTTAGTGCCGTTTCGATTCCCATTTACAGAGGAGTCACCAGGGTCAGAGAGGTTAAGCAACTTGTCTAAGGTCACAACAGCAATAGTCAAGTGAGCGAAGCTGGGATTCGAACTCAGGAGGTCCTGTTCAACCGCCCAGACTCTTAGCCTGCATTTCAGACGGTTCTTTTTGATGCCCGATTTCTGTCCAGTCCTGGCTCATTTCTTTTTGTTCTCTAGCTGAAGGCTCCCTTTTGCACCTGCAGGGTGGGGCTCTCCACCCAGAATCCCTGGCTGGGAGTAGAACAGGAAGGAAGGAGAGCCATGACGTGTCAGAAGGAGGACCCTCAACGCCTCATCTGAAAAGGCGAAAGGCTGAGCTACACCTGCCCGGGCCCAGATTTCTCCTAAATCCTCTGATTCCTATTCCTACCTCTCCAGCTTTGGTTTTCTTGATTGAGAGATGGGGTCAGTGAGAAGGAACCACCACCGTTCCACACCTTGGTTTGGAATACAGGGCCCCTCCCAACATGGCCCAGTCCACTCCCCTAGCCTCCTCTGCAGAACGCCCTGCCCTGCCCCTCCAGTGCCAGCCACACGACCTGCCTTCCTCTATCTCCTGCACCCGCTTCCTAGACACAGACTTCTGGGCCTCTGCCTATGCTGTTCCCCTCCTCCCCTCTTCCCCCTTGCAAACTCCTATTCATCCATCAGGGTCCTGCTCAGTGACTTCTGATTCTTTCAAGATTTAAACAAATACTTTGAGCACAGCCACTGTATGCCAGGCACTGTGCCAGGCACTGCTGATACACCGGCAAGCTCTGCTCTCATGAGAGGGAGAGAAATATTAATCGCACCATCCATGAGTAGCTCAAATTAGACTTCAGGGCTGGGAAGGAGAGGAGCACCTTTCTCAGAGCACAGCCCAGGAAGGCATTTGACCTCAGCTGGTGGGTCAGGGAAGCCTTCATGTGAAATAACTCTAAAGCTGAGGCTTGAGGGTGGAGAGTTAAAGGTAAGAAACTCAGGCCCTCTCAGGGGAAGGCACCGTGAAAAGGGGAAGCAGGAAGTGCACTGGTCTGGGAGGATGGAGATGCGTGGAAGAGGAAGTGTCTGGTGGTGTGTCTCTTCCCAATTCCATGTGCAGTGATTTCACACTTGCAGCTTGAAACTGTCCACAGCGGAATATTTACACCACAGAAATCGGCAAACACACTACAGAGCAAAATGCTTTCTTCCTTTCTCCAGAGAGCCGGTTTCTGGTTTCTGGTTTCCCAGCACCGAGGCTGTGAAATGCCTCTGGGCTACCTTTCCCGTCTGGGAGGGTGTGAGGATCCGGGCCTCTCCTATGGTCCCTGCCACACCAGACTGCAGGTGGTAATTTGGACTTTTGACTCCGAGCCAGCTCCCAGGGCCCCTCTTTGCCCAAGGGCCCAGCGCAGGGAATGCTTGCTGGAGGAATAAATGTTTTCAGAGGTTCCGGACACCTCCCAGATCGGCCTCTGGGTTTCCTCCCCCTGCCTCTGGCTGCCCCAAATTCTCCCTGCTCTTCAGGTGGAACTAGTCTACAGGAGCGAACCAACAGGCTGTTCTCTCCCTAATAGAAAACATCTGGATCCGGCAGCTGGCTGCATGGGAAAGTAGGTGCCACTGGTTCCCGCCATGGGGAACCAGCCTCGTGGAGAGGGACTGGGGAAAACGCAGGGACCGCTGTATGTGGAGCCCTTACTCCTGCTAAGCGGCTAGAGGCTTCCACACCCATCGTTTCATTTGGGCCCCAACAACTCAGTGGGGGAGCTGGTGGCTTACGGCTTTGAAATGAAGCAGCCTGGCCTTGGATCCAGGTTTTGCCACTGAACTCCTCTACATAACCTGGGGCAAATCACTTCACCTCTGCTTCTCAGTTCCCCCAAATGTGAAAGGGAGAAAGAAGATGGCACTAGCTGAAGGGTGGTTCAGTGTGGCTGGGGGAGGGCGGAGC